CTGCAGAGCCTGAGACTCCACACTGAGTTAGCATTTTCATTCTCGCCGAATCACCCAAGTACTGCCAGCCGCAAAAGGCTTTTAGCCGCCTTCTTCCTGTGGCCCACATGCTAATACAGTTTTTCATTAAAATATTTTTTTTTTTGACAGGCAGAGTGGATAGTGAGAGAGAGAGACAGAGAGAAAGGTCTTCCTTTGCCGTTGGTTCACCCTCCAATAGCTGCCACGGCCAGCCCGCTGCGGCTGGTGTACCGTGCTGATCCGATGGCAGGAGCCAGGTGCTTCTCCTGGTCTCCCATGGGGTGCAGGGCCCAAGCACTTGGGCCTTCCTCCACTGCACTCCCTGGTCACAGCAGAGAGCTGGCCTGGAAGAGGGGCAACCGGGACAGCATCCGGTGTCCTGACCGGGACTAGAACCTGGTGTGCCGCCGCCGCAAGACGGAGGATTAGCCTAGTGAGCCGCGGCGCCGGCCTATTAAAATATTTTTAATGTGACAAGAATTGCATAGCACAGCACTGAGCACTTTTGGCACTTCCGAGTGTGTTCAGTGGCACTCAGCACACACACTCATTGTTCCGCCAGCATCACCACCAAACTTCTTCCCAAACTCCAGCTCACCAACAACTCCACGTCCTCCAGCTCCTGCTACCCACGGTTCTCCGCCCAGGCTCTGTGAAGCCGACTACACTAGCCACCTCATCTCAGTGGAACCATATAGCATCTGTCCTTTTTGCACCTGACGTATTTCACTTAGCATAATGTCTTCAAGGTTCGTCCAAGTTGTGGCACGTATCAGAATCTCACTCCATTGTAAAGTCGAATAATATTCCATTGTACGAGCTAAAGCATTTTGCTTAACTGTTGGTCCTTCCATGGACGTCTGGGTTCTTTCCACCTTTTGGCTATTTTGAGTATTGTGGATACTACTGGACAGCTGTTTGAGTCCCTGCTTTCAATTCTTTTTTTTTTTTTCTTTTTTTGACAGAGTGGACAGTGAGAGAGACAGAGAGAAAGGTCTTCCTTTTGCCGTTGGTTCACCCTCCAATGACTGCCGCGGCCAGCGCGCTGCGGCCGGCGCACCGCACTGATCCGAAGGCAGGAGCCAGGTACTTATCCTGGTCTCCCGTGGGGTGTACTCCCTGGCCACAGCAGAGAGCTGGCCTGGAAGAGGGGCAACTGGGACAGAATCTGGCGCCCCCACCGGGACTAGAACCCGGTGTGCCGGCGCCGCTAGGTGGAGGATTAGCCTAGTGAGCCGCGGCGCCGGCCTGCATTCAATTCTTTGGAGTGTATCCCCAGAAGTGGAATTGGTAGCTCATATGGGAATTGTTTACTTTTTTGGAACTGTTACACTGTTGTAACTATCTTTGTCAAGAGATCTTTTTCAAGCCTTTTACAAGTGGATTCTGTGCCTGTTTTAACTATTTTATGAAATGTTGAAGACAATTTATTATGTGTAATGATCCCTACGGTAAGGAGAATCACTTAAGTATAATGTATAGGCCACTGCCAGGATGATAATCAGTGCAGGAATTGGATGAAGTATATTAGAGACGTTAATCTATGTAACATACAGAGGCACACGAAATACTTTTTCAAGATGAATATATATATATATTTAAACATTTTTATTATTTATTTGAGAAGTACAGACAGTGAGAGGGAGAGACACAAAGAAATCTTCCATCCGTTGGTCCACGCCCCAAAAGGCCCCAATGGCTGGAGCTGGGCCAATCCAAAGCCAGGAGCCAGGAGCTTCTTCCCAGTCTCCCACGCAGGTGCAGGGGCCCAAGGACTTGGGCCATCTTCTACTGCTTTCCCAGGCCATAGCAGAGAGCTGGATTGGAAGAGTAGTAGTGGGGACTAGAACCGGCGCCCAAATGGGATGCTGGCACCGCAGGCAGAGGATTAACCTACTGTGCCACGGCACCACAGGACCCTGGAACTCCATCTGGGTCTCTCACGTGGGTGGCAGGAGCCCAAGTCCTTGCCAAAATTCTCTGCTTCTAGGCATATTGGCAGAGAGCTGGATAAGAAGCAAAGTAGCCGGGATTCAAACCAGCACTCCAATATGGGATGCAGGCATTGCAAGTGGTGGTTGAATCCCCTATGCCACAGCGCCCACCCCTCAAGATAGATATTTTTATAAAAAATTTTATATATCTGTAGTATTCCAATCTCAAGTGTTTTCCTAGAAAAGCATAGTTAGTGGCCAGTAGCCAGAACCAATGGGGTTTTTTTTATTTTTATTTTTATTTTTTTATTTTTTTTTATTTTTTTATTTTTTGACAGGCAGAGTGGACAGTGAGAGAGAGACAGAGAGAAAGGTCTTCCTTTGCCGTTGGTTCACCCTCCAATGGCCGCCTCGGCCGGCGCGCTGCGGCCGGCACACCGCGCTGATCCGATGGCAGGAGCCAGGAGCCAGGTGCTTATCCTGGTCTCCCATGGGGTGCAGGGCCCAAGCACCTGGGCCATCCTCCACTGCACTCCCTGGCCATAGCAGAGGGCTGGCCTGGAAGAGGGGCCACCGGGACAGAATCCGGCGCCCCGACCGGGACTAGAACCCGGTGTGCCGGCGCCGCTAGGCGGAGAATTAGCCTAGTGAGCCGCGGCGCCGGCTACCAATGGGGTTTTAAAACTGGTGGAATTCTGGATCAATATGTTCACCAATTTTTACATCCAGATTAAGTTCTCATCAGCACAATTCTAGGTTTTATGGCTCTAAGTGATTTTTAAATCCCCTAAGCGATGTGCCTTGAAATCAGGCTGGAGACACTGAGGGCTCAGTGCATTCTCGGAACGGCCAGAGATGGAGCTTGGTGCAGCTGGTGCACCCTCACCTGTCAGGATGAGCCTGAGACCCAGACACACAGGCGAGGAGGGGTGGCACCACTCCTGGTCTGCTTGCTTAGCACAGCTGTGGAGTGCTGTTGCACATCCAAGGCAAGGGGCCCGGAGATTCTGGAGCAGCTGGTGTTTCAGATACGTGGGAGCCGCTAGCCAGGGGTGTCCCGGACAAGGTTCCCTGCAGGTGCAGCTGCAGACAACACAGATCTCTGCTCTCCCTGTGCCGGGGACTTCTCCCCTCTGCACAAGAAGCTGTGAGCAGCGTGACAGTTCTAGCAATACATGGACGTTCTGCTAATTACAGCTGGATCATTTTCAATTATTTGATATGAAGGGATTCAACTGAATTACAAATCTATTGTCATTTTACTACAATTAAAAAAAAATTTATTTGTAGGCAGAGCCATAGTGACAAGAGACACAGAGGGATCTTCATCTGCTGGTTCACCACCCAGGTGGTTGCCAATGGCTGGGGCCAGGGCCGGACAAAGCCAGAAGCCAGAACTCCATTCGGGTCTCCCACATTGTCTGTAGAGTCCCAAGTACTTGGGCCTTCTTCCATTGCTTTTCCAGGTACAATAGCAGGGAGCTGGAACCAAAGTGGATCAGCCAGGACTCGAACTGGCTCTCTGATATGGAAGGTAATGTTTTCAGTGGTGGCTTAATCTGCTGTCACAATGCTGGCCCTCACACTATGATTTTAAATGAAAGGAAAAGTCACTAGATTCTTTAAACTTAGCTTCAATTGTAAAGTATCCCTTAAGAGTTAACTCACACAAAGCACACAGTTGTATGGTTTTGAGTATATTCTATTGTACAACTATTAGCACCATCCAGTTCCACATGTCTATCAGCTGCAGGAGCCCGTGCCTGACAGGGGTCCTCCTCCACTCCTCCTGCTCCAGCTCCCAGTCAGTAACCTATTTCCTGTCCTATGGATTTGCCTATCCTGGACATTTCATATAAACAGAATCATACAACATGGAGCCTTTTGTGTCTGGTCTCTTACTTAGCAAGTTTTTAAAGTTTATCCAGGTTGTAGCATTAACGGTTCCATTTTATGGTTGAGTAGTATTTCACTGGATGGATACAAACACATTTTGTTTATTCATCAGTTTAATATTAATAGTTTTTGTTTAAAAAAAAAAAAAACCTTTATTTATTTGAAAGGCAGAGTTACAGAGAGAGGTAGAGACAGAGAGAAAGAGGCCTTCCACCCACTGTTCACTCCCCAAATGGCCGCAACAACCGGGGCTGGGCCAGGCTGAAGCCAGGAGTTTTTTCTGGGTCTCCCACATGGGTGCAGGGCCCAAGCACTTGGTCCATCTTCCGTTGCTTTCCCAGGCACATTAGCAGGGAGCTGAGTCAGAAGTGGAGCAGCCGGGACTCAAACTGGCACCCAAATGGGATGCGGGTGCTGCAGGCGGGGGCTTTAACACATTGTACCACTGTGCCCACCCCTAACAGTAAGTTTTTTTAAAAAGAATTATTTATTTGAAAGGCAGTTACAGAGAGAGAATCAAAGACACACAGGAAGATCTTTAATCTGCTGGCTCTCTCCCCAAATGGCTACAATGGCCAGTGCTCCATCAGGCTGAAGCCCGGAGCTAGGAACTTCCTGTGGGTCTCCCTTGTGGGTGGCAGGGGCCCCAGGATTTGGGCCATCCTCCCTGTTTTCCCAGGAATGTCAGCAGGGAGTTGGATCAGAAGTGGAGAAGCCCGGACTTGAACAGGCGCCCTTATGGGATGCCTGCATTGTAAGCTGCGGCTTAACTCGTTGCACCACAGCTCTGGCTCCAAAGTCTCTGAGTTTAAAGGTTAACACCTACCGGGGGGTAGGAGCTGCACTCATGCAAACGGATCCACTTCCTCATGCAATCCACTCTAGGACACGCGTGGCTATGACTTACAGTCTTGAGAGATTACAGGGCTGCCCAGAGGCGCAGGGGTCAGTTCTACGAAGAGTCAGTCTATTAACAGACTGGATCAGATACACGGGGTCTCCTCCTACAGCTAAGACTGTTTTGAGTCTAACATCATGATTTTGTGACAACAGTTAATGAATACTTGGGAATCAAAATATTTTTTAAACACAAATGTTCTTACCTTTAAAACTGTAACTTGAGATTGTCAAATTACACATACACCTTACTTCCATATTATTTTGTAAGTTTATTTTTAAAATGACAGTAACAAATGGTTTTCCCTTGCTGGGGAATGATACATCTATTTTCCGCGAATAAGGCTTTAAAAAGTAACAGCGTTTTGTCCAAACTGAACTTGTATATAATTGCACAAAAGTCACACAAAGCAGTAAGAAATGCCAGCAAAGATGGAAGCTTGCTCAGAGCCTCATGGAACACACCCCGAGTCCTTGATTCCAGGTCACCTGACGCAGACAGTGCTGATGCTCACCCACGTTCTTGGTGCCACACATGCAGAGACCACAGCAACCAGAACACTGTGGTTTGTGACCACGGAATGCTGCTGTGTCAGGGTTTAATGATGCACTCGTCTGCTCATTACTCTAGAAACATTAAAAACACTTCAGTTTAAAAAATATTTGCCCAGCTTCGAAACATACACTGTCTACTTTAAATTGTATTTTAGGAAACTAAAACTACAAAAAAATGAAGCACACCTTAAAAATCTGTTCCAAGCTGGGTCCTTTGTGTGCCACCATCTGTGGCCCTTTACCCTCTCTCCCTCTCTCGCTCTCTCTCTCTCTCTCTCACACACACACACACGTAGCATTACCACCTACCACACTAGCTGAGGTTGGCAGATAAGAGCTAACTCAAGTCGCAAGTCTTTCTGGCCGCAGCTGGTAGGAACACTGTTAGAGGACGCAGGGTCCCCCTGCGCTGGAGGAGGAGTGCACTGCGTTTTGCTCCTGATCTTGACAAGCCCAGGAGGGGAGAGGTGGCAGCCAGGCTCACACCTGCAGCCTTTGTATCATTAACAACGCTGATGAGGGTGTTGGTTACCAGTATTCTGAACAATGCAACAAGGCCAAATTTTTCTGTTTTAATGATATAGAATGTCTTTATCTGGAGATTTATTTGGTGGATCTTAATCTCAATGCAGAAAGAGATGTCTTCATGTGAGGGTTCTCCCTTTCTGAACTAACACAACTTAGTGAGGAAAAAGCCCAGTGTTTTGAGGAAAAAGCCCAGTGTTTTGAGGAAAAAGCCCAGTGTTTTGAAAGATGATGCACAGGAAGCATTTTAAAGTCGTCACCAGAGCTCCTTCTCCGCTTGGAGGCCACAACAAGCGAAAGAGAACTCTTGCCCCAGCATCTCTGCTGTGGTGCTTCAAATAAGAAACACAATCCTGGTCACCTGCTTACGAGGGAAAAGAGCGATTCCTGAAACACACAGAGGTGAGCGGCACTGGCCAGTCAGATAAGCTTCTGCCATTTAGATGGTGTTGCTAATGATCCAGCCACAGCTCCGTATCTAGCGAGAAAAACCCCAGTGGTAACTTTGGAAGACGCTTTCTCACGATGCAGGCTTTCAGTAGGACACCCGGTGTACGTGTGAAGTACCAGGAAGACTCCTGAGCCAGAGGACACTCGGGCCGCGGCTGCGGTACGGCCCAGGAATGAGGGACACTCGGGCTGGGCTGTGGTGCGGCTCATGGATGAATGAATGACATCTGGGCCACGGCTGTGGCGCGGTTCATGAATGAATGAAGGAGATCACTGCGCCGTGTATACTTCTCTGTAGCACAACACATCCTGAGTGTATCAGACAGCCACGGAGGCTCACTGTGCCACCTGACTCAAACGCTCAGCCGCTGTGGTTAATCTGGGATTCAAAGAACAACGTAGCTAGGTGAGCAGGAACTAAAAATCACCAGTCACACTCACTACCAGTAACATCTGCAGAAGAACTTGACTGGAACCTAACCACAACCTGGACCATGTCCAAGTTCGCTGCTTTACATAAAAGCCACGGAGGCTTTGAGCTGGAAGGCTGAAGGCCTCAGAATATGACCTACAGGAAGAACGGGAAAGTCCTTCTTCCCAGGACTGGAAATGAAGAAGGGAAAGAAGCCAAGGAGGGGGCTGTGGGGGCACAGAGGCCTGGGAAGTGAGAAGTCAGAGCTGTGGATTTCCTTCTCGCCTCTTCTTTTAGGGACAGCACAGGACTGAGAAGTTGGAGGGAGTCAGGGCAGCTGTGGGGGGTGAAGCCCAGCCGCGTAGCCAGGGGCAGCAAAGCTGTGCAGATCTGCATGAGCACTGTCAGGATGCGATTTCTACCACACTGGTTACAGTATCTTTGTCTCCTGTCTGCTTCTGGACCTATACTGCAAGTTTTCCTGAAATAACGAGCAAACTTCTAACACTGCAGAAACTGTTAATCCCTCAACTTGTGCCTAACCTCAATATGGAAAAAAAACAAAACCAAAAAAACCCACTTTAAATTCATGCTCTACCAGTTCGCAGGTTTTGCGTATCTTAGGCCCATATCTACATATAAGGGAGGTGAACACACTGGCTGTTAGTGCTTCCCTCTCCCAGAGATGCTCTGAGTAAACCATCTGCAGCCCCCCAGCCTGCTCCCCACACAAGCCTGGTCGCCATAACTGTATCCAGTTATGGGTACAGCTCTCTACTACTCACCTTCCAGTGCTGACATCAGGACAGGTAAGGAATAGAGGATGCCTACAAGTACTGGGTGGATCCCATATCGCTCGCTCTCTCTTTTTTTAATCAGAACTAGAGGAAATCACAGGTGGACAACAGGGGTGCTTCTCTGAAAACTGGGTGCCACGACTCTGACTTAACAGGGCAAGTCAAGCATCTGCCTCAGGCCAGTGCAGACGCTCCGGGAGTGGCCTGATCAGAACCTAGAGGATGTCTAGGAAAGGAACCATCTTAAAAAAAAATTATGTGAGAGACAGAAAGAAGGAGAAGAAGGAGAAGAAGGAGAAGAAGGAGAGAGAGAGAGAGAGAGAGAGAGAGAGAGAGAGAGATTTTTTCTATCCACTAGTTTACTCCCCAAATGCCTGCAACAGCTGGGACTGGGCTGGGCTGAAGCCAGGAACCAGGAACTCCATCCAGGTCTCCCACAAGACGGGCAGGATCCCAACTACCGAGCCACAGCCACTGCCTCCTGGGGTCTTCAGTACTAGGAAGCAGGAACTGAGCCTAGCACTCTGATGTGTGTTGTAGACGTCTCCATTGGTGGCTTCACGAATGGCCCCCCAGGATTCATCTTTAACTGAAGAGAACAAGTGCTGGAAGTTTGGATCTGCAGTAGTCACATACCTACTCTTCCACTCCTTCATTTCCTTACCGAGAATTTAAACACGTTTTAGGTCCCAGGCAGCCAAACAGCAAGAAGAGCTCGCTCCGCAGCCAGTGTTGTTGGAATTGGGACTCGGCTGAATGGTGAGACAAACACAGCAGTGCCCTGCAGGCTCGTGTGGCTCCGGGAGAACAGGCAGGCAGGAGTTAGAAGTACTGGCCACCCGCGATTACAGGCAGGCGGCCTTCAGGGTCTGGGACAGGCAGGCAGGAGTTAGGAGAAGTACTGGCCACCCGTGATTACAGGCAGGCGGTCTTCAGCATAATAGGAACTTTGGTGATTAGCTCTAAATACAGGCATCACACAAACATTGTATGTTATCAGGAGGATCTCAGCAAAGTGCAAAAAATACTCTGAAAAAATAAGATAATTTTCTCCCTGTTTAAATGTGTAATTGGAATGCATGGGCATACGTAACCAACACCCTTTTTAATGTTTATAAATTAAACTCGCTTAGGTCCTGAACTCCAGAGAAGTCATGTTATCAAAGAGGCAGTCACATAGCATTTAAAAATTCTCTTTTCCGGACTTCTCTCTACTTGAAATAAAAAACCCACAGATGTGACTGCACACAGCCATCAGCTGCACTCCAGAAGGAAGGCGTATAGACAGGCACACAGGAGCCCCTCGGGGCACTCGTGCAGGGATGGCCGGGTGCCCCTCTGAGCCCGAGATGCACGTGGGGCCGCGGCGGTCAAGAGGCCCTGCTGCAGATGTGCTCGACGTCGCTCAGCTCCTTGGGGCAGCCCGCAGACAGCACGAGGGGCGAGTCCTGAGTCACCACCACATCGTCCTCGATGCGGACGCCAAGGCCCCGGAACTTCTCTGGTGCATCTCTGTCATCCTCGGGAATATAAATGCCTGAGAAGCGAGAAGGAGAACGTGCCGATCAGCAATGGCAGCTGAGCGAGTCGGGCAAGGAAGTTCACCTCTCTGTTACAGCTCCTTCACTTGTAGTACCGGACCTCAGTGGTTCTCACTGGGTCCAGCTGTGAGGAGCCAACGAGATAATCCACATAACATGTCTGGTGCATAATGGTCCATAAATGCTAAGCTACCATTAATACAGCTGTTATTATTGATTAATTAAGTTTTATTTATTTATTTGAAGGGCAAAGTGATAGACAGCGAAGAAGAGACAGAGAAAGAGAGCAACATCCCCCATCCACTGGTTCAGTCCCCAAATACCTGCAACAGTCAAGGCTGGGTCAGGCTGCAGCCAGGAGCCAAGAACTTCATCTGGGTCTCCTACAGGGGATGTAGGGGCCCGAGCACTTGAGCCATAATCTATTGCATCCTAGGCACATTAGCAAGAAGCCGAATCGGAAGCAGAGGTGGGACTTGATCCTAGGCACTCAGATATGGGAGGCAGGCATCCCAAGTGACGGCTTCACCCTCTATACCACAGTGATAATGTCGATCATCAGTCTGTCATATTTTAGAGTCTTAAATGGCCCATATAAAATGACTTTGGGGCCAGTGCTATGGCATAGTGGGTAGAGCTGCCGCCGCCTGCAGTGCCAGCATCCCATGTGGGCGCTGGTTCCAGTCCCAGCCTCACCACTTTTGCTCCAGCTCTCTGCTGTGGCCTGGGAAAGCAGTAGAAGATGGCTCAAGTGCTTGGGACCCTGCATCCTTGTGGGAGACCTGGAAGAAGCTCCTGGCTCCTGGCTTCAGATCGGCCCAGCTCTGGCCATTGTGGCCATTTGGGGAGCGAACCACTGGATGGAAGACTGTTCTCTCTGTCTCTCTCGAATTCTGCCTGTCAAATACAATAAATAAATTTTAAAAAATGACTTAGTTAATGAGCGTGTCAGTGTATGATGGGATGCAGCAGACTGTCTTAGTTTTCTCTGGCATAATAGTCTCCTGAGAAAAGGGCACTTTGTTCAAATGAAGATAAAATGTATTTCAATAGATTTTAAATGTATTAACATTTATATATTCTTAGCTTTAGCAACCAGAAGCTGCAGAAATTGTCATTATACATTTTTCCCCTCCTCAAACAATAAAATAAGAGAGAAACAGAAAGACACTAATATATGTTTGGAAAAATCTACAAGCCCCAGGTAGAAGCTTCCCTAATCATAAGGTCAAACAAATACCAGGGCTTTTCCTCTTTTTTTTTTTTTTTTAAATAAAATTTATTCACTTGAAAGTCAGAATTACAGAGACAGAAGGAAAAACATAAAGAGGGAGAGGGGGAGAGAGAGAGAGGGAGAGAGGGAGGGAGGGAGAGAGGGAGATCCTTCATTTGCTGGTTCATTCCCTAAATGGCTGCAACAGCCAGGGCTGGGCCAGGCTGAAAGCCAGGAGGCTCTTCTGGGTCTCCCATGTGGGTACAGAGGCCCAAGCACTTGGACCATCCTCTGTTGCTTTCCCAGGTGCATCACCACGGAGCTGGATCAGAAGAGGAGCAGCCAGGACTCGAACTGGCGCCCATATGGGATGCTGGCACTGCAGACAGCAGCTCAACCTGCTGTGCCACAATGCTGGCCCCTAAGGCTTTTCCTTTTAAAGAAATTATAAACTTCTTCCACTACCCCCACAGAACTGCTTTGTGACAAAAAGATCAGTAAAAAAAAAAAAAAGAAAGAAAAGAAAAGAAAAAAGTGTATTCGAAATCTAAGGAAGCAAGCATATACTGACTAGGCTGGGCAAAATCACACCTCAGGCCACAGACAGCAAGTATGACCATGCTCAAAGGGGTATAGAAGAGCTTTCCCAGCCCTAAGGTGTAGAATTTGAGGTTAGAACATTTGAAAGCTACAACTGTGATCTGTTTGGATAACAAGAGCAGCAATAGTGTTTGAAAATCAACTCTGGTAACGCCAATCTCCATACTCCACCGTGGCTACCACTGCCCTCCTGCTGCCGGCCCAACACCCAGGACTGTCGCCATCAGGCAGTGCACTGACTGCTGGCCTTCGGTGAAGCTCCTGAGAAAGGACCTGGGTGCCAGGACTGGGGCAACGCTGGGGAGTGCAACACAGGGTGCAGAGGGGCTGCAAGTTGAGACAGGGAGACTGCGCGTCTCCTGCGTGCAAGCCCTGGGCTCCGGAGCTGTGAGGGCCCCCACCGCTAACCAGGAGACTAGGACAAACCAGCCTCGGCAAAGGCAGGATTAAAAAGATTCATTTCTTAATATCTGCTCACAGAAAGTATTCCCCATCTGTTGTTTATTGAAGCAGTCAAATTAAACAAACTGTGTGATGTTAAATAAGAAAGCTAAAGATAAATCTAAAATAAAGTCACTTTTTACACTTGTGAGGTTGTTTTCCTGTCTCTTCTAATTTAATTATGTTGGCTCAGGCAAAAATGGACAATGTTCACGTCACACTACTACTTTGTGTTGCACAGGACCGGAGGCTGCTGATGCCTCCCCTTACCTGGTTCAATCGTGATCACCATCCCCGGCTGTAGAGGGAGGGAACGGGGCATGTCTGGAGTGTCGTGGACATCCATCCCAAGGTAATGGCCAACATGATGAGGGCAGTATTTTCGAGCAGCCTGGAAGTAATTATCACAGTATTAATGCGGCAATAACTCCTAAAGGGGAGAGTTCCACATAGCATATGGATATATGAGCACGTGTTGATATACCTTCCCCATGGTCCCGTCAATCAGTCTTTCAATTTTTATTTATTAGAAAGCTAGACACAGAGAGAGACAGACAGAGAGACAAAGACCGTCCATCTACTCACTCACTGCACAACTGGCTACAACTGCTGGAGCTTGGCCAGGCTGAAGTCAGAAGCCTGAAACTCAACTTGGGACTCCTGTGGGGTGGCAGGCACCCATGTACTCTGGCCACCATCTGCTACCTCCCTGGGTGCCCAGTAGCAGGAAGCTGGAATCAGAAGAGGAGCTGGAACTTGAACCCAGGCCCTGTGACACTGGATGTGGGCGTCTCAAGCAGGATCCTGAGCACCAAATGCCTCCCACCCACCACTTATGTTTAAGCTATTTTTGGGCATATGATTAAGAGATAAATGGCTACCTCTCAGCCGGAGCTGTGGCTCACTAGGCTAATCCTCTGCCTGTGGCGCTGGCACCCTGGGTTCTAGTCCTGGTCAGGGTGCCGGTTCTGTCCCGGTTGCTCCTCTTCCAGTCCAGCTCTCTGCTGTGGCCCAGGAAGGCAGAAGAGACCCATATGGGAGACCAGGAGGAAGCACCGGGCTCCTGGCTTCGGATCAGCACAGCACTGGCCATAGCGGCCATTTGGGGAGTGAACCAACGGAAGTCCTTTGTCTCTGTCTCTCTCTCTCACTAACTCTGCCTATCAAAAAAAACCCAACCAAACAAACAAAAAAAATGGCTACCTCTTGTATGCAGCACACCAATGGAATTTTAAATGATTCACATTTCTGTTCTCCATAATAAATATACTACACACATGTTAACTTGCGGAATCCCAGTAATAACCGTGGCAAATGAAAATCTCTTAGGGAAGATGAAGATGTTAGAATAAATCATCTCTTCAGTGCTCACACACACCCTCGGGAAGCCTACTCTGAAGACCCTAAAGATCTCAGAGCATCTTGTGGGGGAGGCATAAGTATTGGGCGTTTGACCGGTGTGGATGCTTCTGTAAGTTAGCTGGAGATTTGTTGGTCTAAGCAACAGGAAATCTAGAGCTTCTTTTCCATTGATAGCAGAAGTCCTGGCAGCCTAAAGTTGGAGGTGGAGGATGACCAATGGTCTGTCTGGCTTGACCACCTGGCATTTTAATTTAATTTTTTATTTTTTTAAGATTTATTTTGTATTTATTTGAAAGGCACAGTTACACACACACACACACACAGGTATCTTTCATCTGCTGGTTCACTTCCCAGATGGCTACAACAGCTAGGGCTGGGCCAGACTGAAGCCAGGAGCCAGGAGCTGTTTTTGGGTCTCCCACATGGGTGCAGGGGCTCAAGCACCTAGGCCATCTTCCATTGCTTTCCTGGGCACATTGGCAGGGAGCTGGATTGGAAGTGGAGCAGCCAGGACTCAAACTGGTGCTCATATGGGATGCTGCTGTCACATGAGGTAGCTTTTATCCATGGTGCCACAATGCTGGCCCTTAGCATTTTAATTTTAAAGTTAAGGTTTTACAGAACACCATTATAATCTCGGTATAGGAAAAATTCATTCCAAGACATTGGTCACTGAACATACTACTCAGTTTCAGCAATATGCAGCAGACACTTGACCTTCCGAATCTCCACAAAAGGATTGAGAGTTCACCTCTGGGGTGGGCACTGTGGCACAGCAGTTAAATTAAGCCACATACCTGCATCCTGTATCAGAGTGCTGGTTCAAGTCCCGGCTCTTCCACTTCCAATACAGCTACCTGCTAATACATCCTGGGAACACAGCAGATAACAGCCAAGTACTTGGGTCCCTGCCACCCACGGGGAGACCTGGACGGGGTTCCTAGCTGCTGGTCTGGGCCCAGCCCAGCCTTGGCTACTGTGGGCATTTGGAGAGTACACTAGTGAATGAAAGATCTCTCTCACTTCTCTCTCTGACACTCTTTCAAATAAATACATGAATATTTAAAATACATTTTTTAAAAAAGTTAACTTCTCTTTTTTGGTTGCTTTTAAATGCAATTTTAAATATTTATTACATTTTATATGAAAGAGAAATAGAGAAAGAAAGGGAGGGATTTCCCATCTACTGGCTCACTCTCCAAATGTCTGTAACAGTCAGGGCTGGGTTAGGCTTTAGCCAGGAACCAGGACTTCAGTCTGTGTGCCCCACATGGGTGACAGGGACCAAAGTACTTGAGTCATCACCTGCTGCATCCCAGGGTGAGCCTTGGCAGGAAGCTGGGGCTGAAAGCAGAGTTGGTTTTGAACCCAGGCGCTCTGATGTGGGATGTGGGTATACTAACCGGCAGCTAAACTGCTGGCCAAAAGCTGGATGCACCTCTCTTCCTTGCTTCCTTTTTTTGTCTTTCTCTATCCTGTCTGCACTAGACTTCATTTTATGTTTTCTGAATACGAAGCTGGTTATGCACTCTGCAATGAACCAGAATGTGCTGCCATCTTCTGGAAGAAATGAGTACTGATTCTCTTTGTTTTAATCCTTGTTGAAGCTAAATCCTTGCAGAGAAAGAAAACCAAGATCATTTCTAAGTCTAATTAGCTTTATATAAGGTAAAAACCAAAGAGCATGTTAGGCATCAATGAGAACGGGGGTCCACAGACGTGCAGTACCTTGAAGGCATTATTTTCCTTAGAGTTCCTCACAATTCCCAATGCTTCAAGCTTCTGTCCTGTCAGTGTCAGCATCAAGCTGTAGATGTTCTCCAAGCTTGTCCCAGGGGAGCACAGGGCCAGACAGTTCTTCTGAATCTCTAGAACAGCTTCATAGAGCTCTGCCTGCGGGGCGGTGAACCTGGGGAGAGCAGAGCCAATTCAGAAGTCCGAACTCAGAATGATCTACTGCAAGACGTCTGCTTCTGTCTCAGGAGGGTGATGACAAGGCAGGGTTGACATGTGCTCTCTAGGAAACACGATGCATTTTTGCAGACAGGATCTTGACCATGGCCTGGGGGCTCAGTAGGAAGTACAGTGATCCAAGTGACCAGCAGACACTCGGCAGCTGAGGCTGGAAGGTGCAGCTGGCTGGGAATGCAGTCCGAAGGCCAGGCCAGGTGCACTCTTGATACTTTCTAATACCTTAGAGAAGGGCTACCACTGGAGAAGAGAAAAAGAAAAGAAGGAAAGCCTGGGACCCACCCTGACAGCTGAAACAGATGTCACAGAATAAACGAGTCAGGATCTCAGGTACTAGAAACTCACCAGTACTGAAGTATCCTCAGAGTAACACTCTCTTTAGCAATCAGGTGAGAAAGAAGCGAGCTGTCTTAGCAGTATTTTCATCCACTGCTGATGCGGATGTAAACCAGCACAGTCGATTGAATCCAAGGCCTTAAGGCTGCTCATGTAATCTGACCTAGTGACTGTGCTCTACGGATGTGCCTAAGAAAATAGTTTTAAATTTGAAAAAGTTAATGCACAAAAATGTGCACTGTGATTTCTGTAACTGGAAGACATCAGACAATTTCTAAATGTCCCCTAGCAGAATGGTTAAGTCTAACAATATAATAGGATAATGAACACCTATATACCCATCTCCCAGGTTCAACCATGATCAGTATCTCTATGATTTTACTGTCCCAAGACAGTATTATTAAATAATAATTTTTTTTTTAATTTTTGACAGGCAGAGTGGACAGTGAGAGAGAGAGACAGAGAGAAAGGTCTTCCTTTACAGTTGGTTCACCCTCCAATGGCCGCTGCTGATCCGAAGCCAGGATCCAGGTGCTTCTCCTGGTCTCCCATGGGGTGCAGGGCCCAAGCATCTGGGCCATCCTCCACTGCACTCCCGGGCCACAGCAGAGTGCTGGACTGGAAGAGGGGCAACAGGGACAGAATCTGGTGCCCCAGGAATTTCTTCATGGTTTTCCACGTGAGTGCAGGGGCAAGGACTCGGGCCATCTTCTTTCCAGGCCTTTCCAGGCTTTCCCAGGCCATAGCAGAGAGCTGGATCGGAAGTGGAGCAGCCGGGATTTGAATTGGTGCCCATATGGGATGCTGGCACCACATGTGGTGGCTTTACCTAGTATGCCACAGCACTGGCTCCAACAGTGAAATTTTTTTTAAATTAAGATTTATTTATTTATTTGAAAGTCAGAGTTACACAGAGAGGAAAGGCAGAAAGAGAAAGAGAGAGAAAAGTATTCTATCCAATGGTTCACTCCCCAATTGGCTGCAATGACCACAGACACGCTGATCTGAAGCCAGGAGCCAGGAGCTTCTTCTGGGAATCCCACATGGGTGCAGGGGCCCAAGGACTTGGGCCATATTCCACTGCTTTCCCAGGCCACAGTAGAGAGCTGGATTGGATGTGGAGCAGCCAGATCTCAAACCGGCGCCCATCTAGGATGCTGGCGCCTCAAGCCAGGGCGTTAACCCGCTGTGCCACAGCACCAGCCCCCAACAGTTCTCTTTTACAATGAAATTCACATACACTGAAATGCACAAATCTGAGCTGTACAATTCTGACAAATGGATGTACCAATCCTGATAAAGCGGGGGACACTGAATGCCTAAATTCTGCTGAGTCATCGCTGCCCTAGAAGCAGCTCTCCTGCCATGTCTGAAGTTAACCCTGCTTTGCCTGAGAACCTTCCTGGAAGTAGTGGCCTCGGTTGCCTCTAGACCTGTAAACAGACTCAAGTCGCAGCAGGCTCCAAAAGTGTACCCATGCGGAGGTACAGCATAATTCAAAACCAGCTGAACGGCTTTTACAATTTATATGGACGAAAGACAGCAAAATACATATGACAAATGGAGATTCACAGTGTGGGGTTTTATGGGTCCACTACACAGATTCTGGACTCAATGTCATAGCTTTAGGGTCTGAGTAGCTCTAACAGTTTGGATGGTTGGTTGGCTGAAACACGGTAGCCTAAGGTAAACAAAGTCGAATGCCTGAACTTCCTTGGTATACAAGGGTTCTGCCTCAGTCCTGTAATATAAATGCTGCTTCACCTTCTAGCCTGCCCTATAGATGGGGACTTACGACTGAAATTCTTCCTCAAATTTCCAGCGTGCTGCTTTGCCCTACAACATTCAGATATGCCAGCCTCAACAAATGTACTGCGTACTTTCTTTTTCTCTAGAGAATCCTGATTGATACCGATCCATACAGAACATTTACACTGTCCCAGAAAATCCGCGTTTGCCTATATCTCATCAATACACTTACCTCCAGAAGCAAATGCTGTTCTGATTACATTCACCTTAGTTTTACGTACACTAGAACATCATATAAATGAAATCATATATGTCCCCTATTGTGTCTGGCTGCCTTCATGTCTATGCATCTCA